GGGATTAATAAAGTATTTTTGAATTGAATCCACCTTTAGCAGCAATTCCAGCCTCAGAAAGTTGAGTACGCTGAATATTTTCTAGATTTGCTGTGATAAACCCTAATGTAGTGCAGATGCCTCTCAATGCACCTGTTCCTAAACATGCAGAATATTTATAAAACCATCTCCATGACTGGGGTTCTGCAGCAGTGGCTGATGCATCAGGTTTCAAACAGATGAGGCGACACTTACGGCTCCCTCCTTCATGGCCTTCATGATGATCTTCTCCAGCCCGGTGGCCTGCTCCTCATCAGTGGGGATACCTGATGGAAAATCTCTATTAAAACCTCAGTCACATCAACATCAACAATGAGAGCACAGCTTTTTTCTACATGAACTCTTCTCTGTTTCATTTTCATAATAAAAATCAGGAGTTCTGTAGCTTGTAAACAGCTGAAAAATTAAACAGTAATAACTTCTTTACCACCTAACATGCTTCAAAACTGATGAGAAACTCATACAACTTCATAGATATATATAGTGTTGTATTATTTATAATACATCTTCATGTAATTGATCAATAAGCACTAATTCTGTGTAACAGAGCCTCTAACACTATAGACTCCAAAGCAGGAAGACTTCCGCCTGTTCTAGATGAGCTCATCTGAACGGAAGAAGCGGCGGGAATCGGTCAGAAACACCGATGCTCGCTGACTTCAGTGGCTTTTAGAGACAGAAGAGGATGTTTACCCCCAGCAGCCATCCCCCGGACAGCAGCGGGAGTCCGGGCAACCGGCCGGCTGGTTGCGGCTCTGAACGCGCTGCGAAGCAGTAACCTTGAAGCCATGTTTTTCTGCTGTTGTTTCACTTCCTGGTTGTCACCGGAAGCAGGACCCGTCCTGCGCATGCGCAAACAGAATATTAAGATCCGGGTCGCCGAAAACTATTTAATAACGATACCAAGAATACTTATTTATATATTTAAAACATTAGAGAATCCTAAACTAGATCATATAGTAAATACCGAAGAATTTTCTGGAAGTAATAGATACGTTTTTTTTCCCCAATCTAAAACTTTTTTGAAAAGTTGCAAATTACAAAACATTGACAAAAAATACACAAGATATAGGACGGTATCTCCAAAATAAGTGTTCGATGATAGTTCCAGCTGGGAATTAAGATATGACATACTTTAACTTAAATTAATAACAGAAGAGATTAAAAAAAAAAAGATATATTACATGTCTCTCCAAATATTTCCCGAATTACGTTAGCAGTGTCTGTATACATTTTTTATTGTTGATTCTTTGGGAATCAAAGGAATTTTTAAAATCATTTTCAAACACGGAAGAAATGTCGACCTTTGGAAAATTTGGTTTTGTGTTTGTTAAATTTTGGAATTAGAATAATCAAGTTCTTTCCAAAATATCTGAAAATGTACATTCAAAAAATATGTTGTAATATGTATTTCTTTTATTTTGTTAGAAATAGCAAAGTTGTGTGGAAGGAGCTATGTTATTTTCCAGTTAATATCAGAGAAAGAGGAGGACCATACAAATTTCCCTCTCGGAGTAATTTCCCTTTTCCTAAAAAAATAGTTCCTTATATGTTTATTGTTACACTGATGACTTAGAAAGTTTACACCATTAATAAAGAGGGTGAGGTCCACTTTCTCTGCCTCTTGCCTTTCAAAATGACCTGTAAGTAACTGGAGAATACCACCGGGAATAGCATTTATCACCATTTGAAATTTCTTATAGGTACCGTATTTTCACGACTATAAGGC